TTGAAGGAAACTTATATGATAACTGCGGAGTGTTTCTGCTTGAGAAAGAAGGCTGTTGGCTTTGACATTTGCAAACAAATCTTTGAAATGATTGTGTCGTTGAGACAGAACAGTCAGGTAATTTTCCAGCCAAAGGAAACTGTTCTTGTCTATATCATATTGCTGTACATGCAGAAAGCCAAAATCCAGGTTCAGGAGACATGCTGATTGCAATTCTGTGGCTTTAGGTGACAGTATCTACCAGTGCGGTTTATGGACTACATGAGCTGCATCAGCAATTTGTGTTGCTGCTGTGACTGTTTTCAATACAAGGATCAGCTGATTTCAATTTTAATACTGGCATCTCTGAGCAGTTGTCTTCATTTGGTATTTAAAATAAGATATGAAAAAATAAGCAACTGTCTCAGAAATTACAGTATTAGTTTAAAAGCCTGTTAGCACTAACAAGAGTGGCCTAAACAGAAGGTTCTTTTTGCATTCTTTCAATATTAATATGATAGCAAAAAGAGAACTCATTGTGTTCTCGTTATAAATGACATTTTGATAACATTAAGATCTTGCAGTTTTAACACTATGTGTACCAAATGAAAAAGATTAAATCAAAACATCATAAATATTCTGCTGAATGATATGTTTTCCATCTTATTTACTTGAATGTCCTGGGTGAGCAGCTTGGCTGAGTGATAAGTAAGCTCAAAGAGCGATCTCAAAGGGCAGCTGAAAATAACAGCACTGAAAATGAAGTGCAGCATTGAGTTACACAAGATTAAGCTGACTAATCTGCTGACTCAGTTTTGCCTTTGTTTTTTGGTTTTGTCATGCAAGATCAAGAGTCATGCAGACAAATGCGTAATGGCATTCCAGGCTAACAATAATAACACCATCAACAAGCAATGGGCTTTTCTCCTGCAACCTCTGCATCCTCCAAAGAGAAAACAGGAAAATGCTCGCCTGTGGCAAGAGGCAGCAGCCTCAGGACAGGGAAGGAGTGTTCCTTTGCTTATTACAGGTGTACTGAATTTGGTACTTCTGTTTTACAGAAATGTTTTGTTAGAGTTGCTCATTTAAGAAACCTTACGTCGGTTCATAGGAAGTGTAATACTGCATATGAGGGGCCTAGAAGGGAAGGCATGCATGGAGTGGCTGAGGTCACTTGGTTCGTTCAGCCAGGAGAACGGGAGACTGAGGGGAGACCTCATTGTGGTCTTCGACATCCTCATGAGGGGAAGAGGAAGGACAGACAGTGATCTTTTCTTTTTGGTGACCAGTGACAGGACCCTAGGGAATGGTATGAAGCTGTGTCAGGACAGTTTTAGGCTAGATATTAGGAAAAGGGTCTTCCCCCAGAGGGTGGTTGGGCACTGGACCAGGGCAGTGGTCACAGCACCAAGCCTGCCAGAGTTCAAGACGCATTTGGACAATGCTCTCAGACACATGGTGTGATTCTTGGGACTGTCCTATGCAGGGCCAGGAGCAGGACTTCGATAATCCTTGTGGATGTCTTCCAGCTCAGGATATTCTATGATTCTGTGTGTCAGGAGAGAACAGATTCAAAATACAGCCCTTACAACATCTTCAGAATATAAAAGCAGCAGCAGCATACTTTTCTATAAGGGCTGTAGTTTGGACAGCCCAAGGATATCAAACTCTAATGAGTGCTGATGGATAAGAAAACTGTCAGTGGAGCCACTGGAAAGTTTAACTCTTGCCCACGGTGTGAATGGGAGCCTACTCTTTACTCACAGAGATGGTCATGTAAGAACTGCTGATCCCTGGGAGCTGCTCTCCCAGCATTTCCCACCATGAGGACCAGCACAGGAAAACCTGTCAGTGGTTATCTTTGCATTCCTGACCCTGAGTGAATCCTTGGAGGATTGTTGGAAGGGCACTGCAGACACATTGGCATGAGAGCAGGCCACGTCCATGGGATTGCAAAGGACAAGATGAAGCCAATATATCATGAAAGGGTACTCTGACTGAAACGAGAAATAAGAGTCCTTCCAAAGCAGGAATCATAGTAGCTGAATGCTTTTTTTTTTTTAATATGAGAAATAGCAATGACTAAAATCGGAGAATGATGCTGCAGAAATGAACATGTTGCGGGGCAGCTGGCATAACAGGCTCTCCAAAATAAAAAGAGAATGAAATAAAGCCTCAACCCACATTGCAAACATTTCAATATTTTCTCTTTCCCTCTGGAAATGATTCGGCTGTGTCATTACCAGGCACATCTCTGATTCTACCTAAGCAGCTAAATGTATGCTGATGGCAGCATGCGTTTTGCCTGCAGTGAAAATGGAGGTGGAGGTTCAGACCAAAAGGAACCTGGGAAGTAGTTTGAAAATGAAATAAAGGCTCTGTACACCTGGGATCATGTCTTTGGGGTGCCACTCATGGCTCTGACATGGCATTTGATCTCTGTGTACATCATTTCTCTATCTGTGGAATGCAGACAACTACATTTATTTTTCTAGGTGAAAGCACACTGGGCTTTTACAGCTGAGTACTGCTATATCAGAACTAAGTATTTTTACTATACATTTTATTGTAAGAGTTTCAAATAATAGCTGAAAGATGGGAAGGGCTCCCAGGCCAAACAATTTTGTCACCATTTTATTGGATAGACAAAAAGGTTTGGCAGGTAAATGAAAAAGTTTATTTCTACTAGTTGATCATGATATGAGAATATAAAGCAGAAAGATCTGGTTTTGTGATGGAGTTCCCCCTCTGTATTATGATTTTATTAGCATAAAAGCAGTACTTTGTGGAAGAAGAAGGACTAAGACCCTAAACAGAGGCACAGAATTCATTTGTGCCTTTACACCAGCTTTGCTAAGACACGGTTTGCAGACATGAATGTATATGGACATACTGAGTTGAAGTTCAAATGCTGGCTTATAGTGTTGACTGAGCATATTTCATTTGTTAATTTCCTAAATAGTATCTTGTTAGAGAAATGCTGGAAATAAATCTGCAGATGTTGGATGTTATAAAAAAGGTCCTTGCAACCCCTGAACTTACTGGCACATCTGTGTTTCCCTTATATAAGCTACTATTGTCAAAGATGCATCACTTAGCCATACTCTGGACTTGAATGTAGCACAGGAAATTTTCAATTCAGGAGCGATGTCTTTTGGTTTTTAATGAGATTTTATTTTGTTTGGGTTTTTTGTTTATTTGTTCATTTTATTAGGTGGATCAATATGTTTAACAATACATAAGACCTGAAATAATTAGAGGCATATCTGCTTTAATGCTCAAGCAAAAGTTTTTAAATATTTATTTTTAAATATTTAAAATTATGGTCTGCATGCTTTTTTAATGTAGATGTTTGAATGTTGAAGTTGTGGGGTTCTGTTAAAACTCAGGATGTCAGATAACCATATGGAAGCTTTTGAAAACTAGTCTTACTGTGTGAACCAAATCTCTATTGGATCAGTGTTTACATGGTGCTAAATGAAATAAAGAAGTACAGAATTCAGTTGAGAAGTTCACCACAGCAGCCCCTTTCTCTGGTAACTCATTTGCTTCTACTTTTAATCACTGAATTCGAGCTTCCATCTTCCTAAGTTAGCTGGCTCTCTTGTAGAGAGTGACCATCTGCTCATCCATCCTGCCTCTAAGGATTTTTTTAAAGCAATGCTCATCCCATAAGATTTGAAAGGAGGGTAGAAAAAATGTCAAAATCCTTCGGTTCATAAAAGTGTTGTGGGGAAATAGAAATGAGCAGAGGAAAAAGTTGTTTCTTGACTCCAAGGATAGGAAAGACTCACCATCATCTTGTTCTTTATCAAGATGATCAGTGTGGGAGAAAGATCCTCTAAGTGTCCCAGTCATGGGAAAAGTTTCAGTGATGGTTTGCATCTCCTCAGGAGTGGCAGTCAAGACAAAAGTATGAAATGAAACTGGGTTTAATTGATTTCAGGGAACTTAACACTACTTATTTTCTTGTTGGTGGTTGTGTTTTATTTCTCCAAGAAAATCTAGGAGCGTAAAAATATAAGTGCTATTTCAAAATCAAATAAGAACGTCCAGCTTAAGAGCTTCATGCTTTTTCAAAGATGATTGTTTGACTTCTGAACTTTTGCTTATTTAAGACATCATAGACTTAAAAAGGAAAAATATGTGTAGCCATGTGACAAAGCAAATGCACCAAAGGAGGATTTATTCAGTTTTTAGAAGATCAGCAGCAGTGATTCACCCTCTTGGCTGGTCTGGAGTGCAATATGGTCAACTAATTCCCCCAGGGAGGAAGAAAAGATGAAAGTCCCACAGCGTTGCGATGGTCACACGGGGAGCAGTGACCTGTGCCAGGGCAGCTCCAGCCAGTGCACCAGGTACAAAGAACACTGCAGCCTTAACCATCAGTGCTGTGGTTCAAGTTAGGCAATCCAAATGTAGCTTTTAGTGGTTCAGTGAAACACAGTGGAAACTTTAAAACAAGAGCACTCACCATCCAGAGACTGAATAAACAAAAGCATATTTAGACAACTGCGTGCTATTCAGCACTTTATATCATGCAAAGAGAGTCCCTCCTCTTTTCAAGCCCCCGCACAAATCTTGCCATAGATTTTTCAGGCTGATCGCAGAGATTTTTTGTTTTCAAAGTTAAAACAACATCAGTTACTAGATCTAGAAGAGTTGAAAGGAGTGTCCTTTTTATTCCCTGTGTCCCTTATCCAGCTTTGAAATCTATTACAGCAAAGCAAAATATGTAATAAATGTGTTTGTTTCAGTATGTGCTCAGGTAATCAGTGTTTTATAACTATTTACTGCTTTATTGGAATTTTTGATCCTTGGAAGGATCAGTAATTTAGACATTTTCTGAGAAACACGCACTGTAGTAATGTCCAAAGTGGCATTAAGCAGAGAAAAACCCCACTTGCAGGTATTACAATTGATAAAATCAGTGTCTTCTGGGCTTATTTTTCATAGATCCTGAGGTCTGCTTTTTACTCTTTAACCTGGTCATTTATGTTTATGTCTTTTGTCTTTCTTACCGATTCCATAGTGAATCTCTTGAAGAAAAGCTTGAAAGCCTGGATGCTGAAGATCTCATGTCTCATCTGTCACGACCAGAAGCCTACCTAGATGAGGAGAAAAGATCAAGGAAGTAAAACTGACCAAACTACGGCACTGACAAGGTCACTTACTCAAACAGTCAATATGAAACAATGTCTTTTAATCCTTCAGTGATGGCAATTTATCGTACATTATTTGATCACTGAATTTGATATTTTGAATTTCATTGTGGTAATGAGATCCAATAGAAATCCCCTGAAAAATAACACCTTGTTAAAAATTGCTACAGGAGAGTTTCATTTAGCTGGCTGGGAAAACTCTCTGTCTAACTCAATGTGGCAACTACTCACTCAGCTGCACTGAGTACAGCGCTGGTAACATCATCTGTCCAAGTTGTCTGACACTTCAGAAGACCCTGTTTTCAGATATAACTTCAGTCTAACCATTCAGGCTGAAAATTTCCATGTCAGGTGTATGCACCAGACTGATCTTTTTTGGAAGATGGAGATAAGATTTGAAGGATAAAGAGACTGGGAGCAAGAAATGTTCTGACGGGGAGCAATCCTGCGTGTAAGAGAGGGAAGGAGGGTGGGGGGGGACAGTCATAGCACACCATGGAAAAATGGTTTTGCAGTTTTTCATCAGACTTCTCTGCTATTATATTGTGTACTCTTTCCAGGTTAAGCATTGTGTTGCTCTAGGGGAAGGAAGGTGTTAGAGATGCTGCAGAGCCTCAGAAAGGTAGGTAGAACTGACACATACCTTTCATTTTGAGCCCTTCTGGGCTGATCTCCATGTTTGGTCCAAAAGGACAAGGCAGAAAAAAAGATTGACAGGGTTTTGGGGCCAGATATTGGTGCTGGGAAGGCAAATGCTACACAGAAGACGTTGCCATGAGTTGATAAAGCAAGGAGTCTGGGACAGACCACATGAGACAGAGAGACGTGGACTGGGTAGGTCGGCAGAATGGGAGGTGTGACAAGGACCCATAAAGATGAGACTGGGATCAAACAGAGGAACTAAGGCCACAGAGGAGTGGGAGGCCATTCCCAGATCACACCCTTTGCTTAACCAGTCTGCCCATTTTCACTTGAGCACATCACTTGATTCCTTGATTCCATGAGGAAAAGCACATTTCCTCCTCTATAAGTCTTTTTTTTTTTAACCTTCTGTCTAAGAGAAGTCTGGTTAGGCCTGTTGACCTATTTCCCCAGAGACTGCTGTAGTTTGTTTATGGGTTTTGTCCTGTTTGTTTGGTGTTTCCAGATATGTCATGTGGGTCTGGAGGTTTGCCAGTCCTCAACATTAAAAATAACAGAATAATCCCTGTCTCCAAGACACATGAGATTCAATTAAAAATTGCAACATAAGACTTTTTGGATGGGATGTTACTAGCTCATTTTTCCTTTCTGTTTCTGAGCCTTTATGATACTTTCAAGTGATGTTGTCAAGAGCTTTTTTGTTATTAGGAGGGCTAGGCAGCTCTTTAACCAGCAGATTTCAGATTTTTACATACTGGCTGGAAAGGATCTGAAATTCTACCAGGTGTACCACCAGTTTGGCAGCACAGGAGAAGAAATGGTTATGGTAAGGAAGAGGTGAGTCCTTTGATTTGAAGTCAAGTATGCAAGAGAAGTATCTACCTTAAACCAAGAACATTATGCCTGAATGTTGTGTTACATGCATGAAAAAAGTTGTTAGAAGAAGGTTTGGGCACTGCACTGGTTTTTTTTGTGAACTGGGAAGGGCCTCCCCTGACAGACAGCTGAGTACCACCATCTTAAAGCAAACCTTTAGCCACTGGCCACCCTGGATCTGATTCAACCCATGATGACATGTCTGCTTAAAATTGTTTAATTTTACAGCACGCCTCTTTCTTTTAATTATATTATCCATCTCGTTAGGCAAAAAAATCACCTTCATCATCATAGGTTTATACTATTCAAATCGAAGCGAGAAATAAAATATATATAATGGCTCATTGCTTTCTAAATTGGGCGCTGACCTGAGTTGACAAGTAACTATGATTTACATTTTGAATTGATGGCAATTTATTTTTCGTAAGTCTAAAAAGTCACAGAGTCTCTTTACATCTGCTATGAGAATCTACTGCATATTATTTAATTATTCACTTGCTATAAACAGAGTTATCAACATTTTTGGTTAGATCTCAGTGTTTAGGATGACTATATTCCCTTTCTACATCTCCTATTCATTTTTGGGCCTCTTGGTACAACAGCAACCAGCAAATAAATGAAATATCAAAGAAATCTAGAAAAATATTTATAAAGAAATCAAGTTGGTTGAATTTATCATCATCGATTGGTGAGAAACAGAACTGAGAAGGAAACATATGCGGCTCTCCTAGAGAGAGAAAAGGTGGTGGATGTGCTCATGTGGGCTCAACACTGAATCTGTGACCTTTGGACAATTTATTAGGGCACCATTCAAATGGCAAATTCTTCAACCCTTATGCCCACGTGAGTGATTTGTCTTTTGAGGCTAAGTACAGCTTTTATGAAACTCTTCAACTAAAGACAGTAGTAGAATTTAGGCTGCGTCAAGATGGCATTTTGACTCTCTTTCTCACCCCCCAAAAAAGGAAAACCAATGCTTCCCAACTGTACTTGGCAATGTGAAGATAATACTATCAGGTTTATGTAAAATCCTTACATATGACAGTATGTGAGTGGGAGCAAGTGGGAGCAAGGAGTGAATATGAAATATAAAAGCCCAGAAGAGACAGAGAACAATGAAAACCAGAGAAATATGATTGCCTTTTACCCAGGGACACCTACACCTAAAAAGAGAAAAACTAGTTGGGGTTTCAGTAAGAAAGGGGTCTAATTAAGAACAGGTTGACAGTAATGGCAGCTGGGTGGCAATTTAATTCAGTACAATAATACAATAGCTGATTCCATTAGGAAAGCATTTTTTCTTGTGCCTGATTATAAATACATACAATTATATTGAATTAATTGGTACAATCTAAGTGCTTGACTAATTCTAATGCTTAACTAATAAGTATAATGAGTTGAATCCTTATATTTTTAAACTTTTAGAACTGGTTAAGTAGTATGGAGAGACAATGGATTCGCAGTAACAGAATATAAAATTTGCCAATATATTTGGTAGTAGTTAAGAAGAAAATCTTATTCAGGGATTTTGCAGAGGAGAAGAAAATATCAGGAAACATTTTGTACACTATTTAATTACCTGCATTAGATATTGCTTAAACTCTGTGTGGTTTCATGCATAAATCATTTAATGACTTAAATTGTTTTTTATTTTGGAGGTTTTGGGTTTTTTTCTTTCTTTCATAATAGAATATACAACCTGGAAAGTAATAATATAAATACATATTTTGCAAATATAATGAACATTTTAGGGCAAATACTAACCAGCCAGTTTTCTAACATGCCTGAGCTGTAGTTAACCTAACTAGAAAAACTCAAATGATCAAAAGTTAATATTGTTTCTACAGTCAGTGATATAACAATAATAGTAGTTGTGCGCCACCGTGCTAAAAATCAACTCCCTTTATGTCCAAACAATAGTGTGAATCACATAAATCTGACCTTGGTATACAAATGTGATTATGTAGTAATTATAGCTCTTGTGCTTTCTGTATAAACAGACTACTTCATTTGGAAATGCTGTAGGTTAGTGCTTCATTCTGCAATTTACAGCCAATGACTGAGCAGAAAGCTTTTATATCCCAAGAAGCTTTAAAATAAAGCAGGTAAAAAAAACCTTATTTCCTGCAAATGAAAAAAATAAGCTGTTATTTGAACTGCTGTGAATCAAATCTTTGTTCTGTCTATGTTCTGCTGAAAAGCAGGTCTTACAAATTTAAAGATTGTCTTTGAAAATGACATTTTACAATATTAAAGATTTTTTCATGGGCAAAATATAGAATTTAATTGCTCAGTCCATGTGATAATTGACATGTTCTTTAACAACTGTGAGTTTAACAAAAATGTCTTTGATTTTGTGCCAGAATCTGCTTGTTCTGTTTGTGTCTATGCTGGTATCATCCAAACAGGATGTGACAAACATATGTTCTTTGGCTTTGTCCTAATCCATGATTTGGATAACACTATTACAATGTGGTCTAACAAACTTCAGTGAAGCAAATCTGAGGATGTTTGTCTGTGGTCTTGATTTTAGTACGTCCCAGGCAATAGAAACTCTGTCCTGACCTCATACATTAGCTGTATGGGTTTTCAGTGCTTCCATAAAAATACACTATCAAAATATTAGCACGCTTATAAACATGGGCTAAATCCTGAAAGAAAACAATAATGGAAAACTTATTACTGACTTGTACAAACCCAGCATAGAGCCCAGAATTGACCCTGAAGAGCTGACTGACATCTTCTTGATGATGAGTCCCTATTTATAAGGGGGTTTAAGAATGTAAATTGCTCAGTTTTTAATCTATTCAATCATTACATTGATGATTTTAGATAATTCTAGTTTCTTAATCAAAATTTTGTTTAGTGCCAAAAGTGTTACCAAAGTTTATAAGTATTACATCAGTAGTATAGATTTTTTCCCTGGAAAATTTAAAACCTCAAAAAATATCAAGATAGCTTTCTTGAAATAAAATATATTGTACTTAATTCCATCCTGATTGACATGAATTGCATTACTTTTCTCTGATTCTTTATAAATAGTGCCTGGAATTAGCCATTCCAGTGTTTTACACTGGATTGATGTCAGGTTGTTAATCCTGAGGTCATTCCACTGAACTTTTAAATATATTGGCAAAGTATGAGATTTCTTCTATTCATCTTGAAATACCCACATGTTAGAATATGTATGAAAAATCAACTGAAAAATTCAGAACTTTGCTTGGATGGCACTTTTAGAAATAGCAACTGAATAGAAAAGAACCTAGTTTTAGGAGATGGTATGACTGTTAAAATGGAAATTACTTCTCCATCCTCATCTGATATGATTGTCATATGATTATGAAATAATCATGGATGGGCTGTGCAAAAGCTATAGAATAATTGCACTGGACAATTTGTTGTTTAGGAATTCATGCTGCAAAATATGA